TAGGAGCGGCCAAACCAAAACGTGGCATCAGTGCTTGAAGTCACTAACTTCTAGTCTGAGCCATGTTGGCAGATGCAGACTACTTGGTTGGGGTCCACGTGACTATCGTAACCAATGGTTGGAGAGTCTAGGTGACATAGCTCGGAATCGATCACAATGGTGTAGGTGTATACGCTCTCCGTTTCTCCTTAAACTATAAGACTATGATTGCTTCACATCTTTCTTCTTTCCTGTACTATATCCTTACATACAATCTTTGTTTTATATACTACCACCATTATATTAACTACTATGAATTCGGTGTTCATCTTGTTGTGTTAAAGAGGTATGACAACTTGGACTGATACATATGTGCGCCTGGTCCTACGTTGTAGCTGATTGACTTTTTTCTATGTGAATTATTGATAATAAATCAAAGATAGTAATTTGTCGAATGGAAATTTATACTGTACGAAACAAATAGGGCAAGTTACAAGATAAAAAAGAAAGCAAAGAATCATACTTTATGTTGATTACTACAATACATTCACAAATCTAGTTCATTTGAGTACATAATAGCCAGAATGTACTGTTAATAAACGATCAGATCTATATTATTTGTGAAAATTATATTTGTAATAACATCAGTGATTGAATTTTGAATAATTTCAACTTTTAGTCAAGCAAACTTGTTTGGACTTCTTCAGAGTAATTATCAGAATTATTTGATTATTATCCTAAAGAAGTTTGAACAAGTTTACTGGAATGAAACATTGGAATTCTTTAAATATCAATCATTGAGATTATATTAAATATAATGTTCAAAGATAGTGTCTTTTCTATATCTGGGTACCCAATTTGTCAAACTATTCATTCAAATATTGAAGAATATTCGTACACAATTAAATCCATATTTAATTTCTATTCTGTTGCAGTTACTTACTTACTAACTTAGGCCTATTACTCCCTATGAAGCATAGGCCACCGACCAGCATTCTCCAACCCACTATGTCCTAGGCCTTCCTTTCTAGTTCTATCCAACTTTTGTTCATTCTTCTCATGTCTATCTCTATTTCTTGGCTGCCTAGCAGTCGTGACTATCAAATTATATTATCAACTAATAAATGAATTTTCAAATATTTATTTCTTTATCAATATGAAGTTTATTTTTGAAACAGCAATGTTTATTTGATTTTCTACATAAAAATAAGTAGTGGTAACAATAATAATAATAATGGTTAGAAGGAATTTATTAAATCTTCAAACACTTCATACATCTTAACAACAATAACAAGAATAATATTGAAAAAGAAAAAATTTAGCATCACCACTTTCAATGATAGATTAACTTTCATAATAACACACTTAGATTAAGTGATGCATACATCCTTACACTATAATGATTCTCTTATTAACCTTATAAGTAAGAGTATATAGATACATATACATACATTGATAAAGAATGATTTATACCCAAGAGATAATCGAGAACTATAATTTGATACAAAGTAAGTTGATTGAATGTAACAAAACTTAATTAGAGGAAAACTACTGCTAACTAGAGAAAAGAGTATAGATTGAATACTTACCTATCTATACAGATAGATATATATGAGTTTGGAATATACAAAATAGATAAACATTAATGCACATATACAATTACATACATAAAATATTACCCCATTCTCTTCATTATTCTACCGTGATTAAATTGCTTATTATTTTTACTGTCATTATTATCTGTATTAATGTTATATAATGCTAAGGTGAAAAATAAACGGATTTATCTTAAAAATAATTCACCCAATAAAGTAACTCATTATCATAGTTCACTTTGTCGTCAATTCACATTCGATTAGTCGCTTGTTTGTTTGTTTTTTATATAAGAAAAGTTCCCTCTTTATGTGAGAACTTTTTCAACAAAAATTCGATTATTTGATTGAATAAAGGTAAGTCTGGGAAGAATGAATAAAAGAAAAAAGAACGGAAAACTATTCTATACAGATGCATACTTACAATTAACTGTTCATCTACATAAATGATAATGCTTGTCTCTGTGTGAAGAGAAAAATGTAACGAAAATTTAATTAGTTTGCTGAATTGATCCCAAGTAGGAATTTAATTACATTCTTGGAATCCCAATGTTCACCTTGAATATACATATATATACTTACATCTACAAAATAAATTGAGTTCTCTTGTGTTTTTTTCTCATTCCTTTCTCTTTAAAGTAACTCTGAAATGTTGAAAAACTCTCCCAATAAAATGGGTTTCTTAAAACAGAATAAAATAAAGAAGTAGTTGAGGAATCAAGCAAACGTTTAATTAACTGTCATAAGCTGACCTTCAGAATTAGTAACCTATAAAACGTTTCATCAAATTGAAGAATATTTCTTAGACAGAAAATGGCATTAAATGATTGGACTCGAAAAATACTAGCAGCTTCAATACGATTCATGTCAGGTTTTTAAATGAAGAAATGACCAGGTTATCTGATTTTTGACTGTTCTACATTTGATTGGTTTTGTTCGAGAAAACTCTTTTCACACTAATATTCTCTAAAGAACTATTAATTAAACTTATTTTTTGTCTTAAACGAATCTGAATAATAACAAATTTATTTGAGTACTACTACTTTTAAGAATCAATTAAAAATGGGGAACCCACAGAAGAAAAAGCAATGCAAAAAATGCACAATTTGTCCATGAAAATATTTGCAATGTAAAGAATTTTCAAGTAATTCAAAATATAGTTGAAGGTCCCCCAAACCAATGTGTGGTATTAGGTAAAGAAGTCAAACTTCTGATCTGAGCTATAAACTAAATGGTTGAAGTCGGTACGATGGTGATTGGTCAGTGGTTTGATCATTTAGGAACATAGCTACCTCTTAACCATAAGCAATAAGATTATTTTATACCTATTATCTCTTGATTTCATTGCCTATTCTTTAACCATATTATTGAATGTTTGGTTTTCTGATCATCACAAACAAAATCCTAATATTTTTTAAATATCTACAGAAACGATCTCAATAATAGACCTCTTACTACATATAATCATATTTAGAACTTACCATCTCTTTTTTTAGTGCCTTGATATTACGCAACTTAAACAGTGGGTTTAACCAATAATATTATTTGTAAAAATTATGTCTCAAGTAATCTTAGTGATTGAAATTTAAATAATTCCAACGTGTCACCGGGAAAACTTGTCTGAACTTCTTTAGGGTGATAATCAAAATTACCAAAGAATATGTAATGTTAGACAATCGATTCAAATTTATACTGAGTATCAAATCACGTTCAGATATTGACTTTAGTAAGTTGTATAATATGAGTCAAATAGATGTGAAAAGTTCACAATATGAAAATAAATGAATGAGTAATTGTGTGCGCATGTTTGTGTGTTAATTTGTTTATTAGAAGTAAAAATAAGAGTGCCAAGTAGAAATGTTTTTAACACACCGATGTGCATTTAAAGTGAGAAACGCTAGTTTGTGTTTAGTGGACTCTATCTCCTTCCTTAGCTTAGTGCTATCTGACGAATTGCTAACATTCTTCCAAACCATTTCGTTTAATGGTATACGAAACGTCAGGATTATTTAACCGTTAATTGCTGAGATTATTTCAAATATGACTCTCACAGGTGATGTCCTCTCTATACTCGGCGCCCGATTTCTACCAAACTGTTCATTCAAATATTGATGAATATTGTTATAAATTAACCAGTAATATTTATTTAGTTTAGGTTTGTATAATGTGTGATGGCATACTTCTTGTAACATTTAGATGGCCTACACAGAACGTTCTACGATAAGATTTCAGAGTATGCTTATCTTAATGACTTCAGTATCTTGCGAATGCCAAATTATGATGAAATCGATATAAATAAAAGACTTGAAGACAAATCCTTCGATGAAATCAACGTGGATCAACTTTTAGCGGATCATATGGCCATGCTTAGAAACATGACTGGCATTTTTGTTGTTCCGCTATAACAGATGGAATTCTATAAGTCATCCTAAATCATTCTACATCTCTTACTATATTGTGCCTGGGCTCATATGGAATAAACGCTATTCATATTCACCTGTATATCCCAATATAGGTTTTGGTGCCATATTTATATTTAATGAGGAATATAATAGCACGTTAAGACTGCTCAAATGACTTTATGTAAATCTCAGTAAGATTACCTGCTCTTAGTCATTTATAGGCACCTTTAAATCATTAGCAACAAATAAAATAAGACTTAATAGTTAAACAGTAGAAAAAATCCCATTATGAAGCGTAATTTAAAAAAGTTAAGGCTTTTCTAATAGATGTTTATAATTGTTACAACTATTAGAAATGTATTTAATCTACGAAAAGTATTTATGTCACGGATCCAATCTAGCGCATTTAATTCATAGGCAGTTTAACCAAAACAATCATAGGGTCTTATCATTACCTTTTATCGAAAAACAAAGGAAAAATTATTTCAATCTTTTCTCCACATCATTTTTTAATGATAAAAAAGCAATAACGAACAGTTTAAGTAACCTAGTCCTGGTTATTGATCAAATGCTAATGATTGGTTCTACATTCATAAACAATCGTGACATGACAATAGTAACTGTCTTAAGTAACCGATAAAGTACTCTTACGAGGACATTTACAGTCTCTCATTACAGCATATAACTCCGCCTGTAGCTCTTTTAGAGTTACTGCCGGTCCCAAGCCCGGGTAAAGGAGGAGGGTTGGGCATGGGGTTAGCGACCCCATCCCGTAGAAAAGCTAACTCGCTAAACAAACGCTAACCAGAAAAAATAAGTAAGTAAGCAATTACATCATATGATGGCACTGCTTCATGTTCTTGAGAGACAAACCGTTCCCTGAAGATTATAAAAATATCTTGCACCTGCGTATAGATCAATACAAAACCTAGGTCCAAATATTTCTACTGATTACTCTCAACTATCCGACAACAAATAACTAATGAATGCTATAACAATCTGTAGTGTAAAATAATGTCTGGGTACACAAGGTGAAATGTACTCTTCATCATTATACCTTTCATATTCTAAGAACCCGGTATATACAAGGTTTTCCAATACTAAAAATCTATAATAGTTTATATTTACGAAAAAAGTCTAAAGAAATTTTGAAAATAATCGGTAATTATTAGATTATTCACACGAAAAATCATTATCAATAACGCAGTCACATATACTAGAAAGACGAGGTACAATTGTTCACTTGATTATTATTAATCAAAAAAGCAACGACTATCTAATTTGATCACATGCGAGTAACACCTGTTGAGTCGTCCAAAGAATTCCTTAATTCATCATCCAGTAACTTCACACCTTCCTTCAGTAATTCATGATTACGAAGAATCGACTCCAAAGGAGTTGTAAGACAAACTTCATAAGTTTCTTGAGGATGTGGCAGCGTATTAGGATGCGGAGTAACCACGGGGAGTTCCGAAAGCTGAGCTGGTAGTGGATCCGTAGTGAAATATGGATCTTTCAATGCCTGAAATATGCAAGAATAAAATTCTTCCGAACAAACAAGCAGGACTTTCAGCTTATAAGAAGATTTCATCGACTAATCCACAAAACACTGATATCATTAAAAATAATATGCAAAACAAAAAGTTATTATTTTAGAATTCGCTTTAAAAAGCAAGTTGTAACTTCATCTTAAGTTCCTGAATCACACACAGACAACAGAATGAAACACATAAGTAACAAAAAAACATGTAAATTAATATTTTGTCAAGATCACTACAACGAGGATGATTTTTTAAGCGCTAAAAAATGACTCAGACAACTGTTTCTTTATTCAACATTTACACTGATTCTAACATTCGCACTCCAGCTTCCAAACAAATGTAATTATGTGTCTAACATCAATCCACTAGTGAGATTACGCGACCATCCTCTATTGCGTGAGGTAAATATTCACCTCACACCGGTCATTTTTGTACTCCACATGTCACAGCTTCTCATTAGAACTCCAGGAATCGCGTCTAGAAGCCAGTAAACAGTGAGCACCCGATTATTATCAGTATAGGATTTTTCGAAGATTCTAGAATTCTCATAGATTTTATATCCCGAACTGATCTTAGTTAGACTAACGATGAAAAATTGGGAGCACAAGGTAGCTGGTCCGTCTTAGTATGATACTCCTCAACAGTACTCACCCCCAACCCCGAAACCGAAAAAAAACCCAGAACATTCAGTCTCATTAGCAAATGCTCAACCTTTAAACCAGTGAGCTAAAATCTGAAAGTGCGAATGACTAACTCCAACCCATTCGAGTTTTAAATGAAAGTTGTGGGTTCTAATCCACCCCCATATATATTGATTTAAACAGTTGAGTTGTGTCCCACACCCGCAGTCAAAATATGTGGATTAACGATACTCGTACGGTTATTTACCTTGGTACATGCCAAGAAAGTAATGTATATTGGTTCACGAAAAATAATTATACACATTATGCAGAAGCAGTTGTCACCCTTGACGTTTTGAGAGATTTAAAAGTATTTGATCTTAATGGTATGAAATATTACTGATTTGGTAAACTACATAGGAATAAGACGTAAAATGATGGATATACCTGGGTATCAACTGGCATATTGAAAGGGAAGTAAACAATAGCATATCATAAAATATGGGTGTTTTGATGCACTAAACTGTGAGTTAAGTTCATTCCTTAAGACTACGGACACATCCTAATTATAATAATGTCAGTCTATGAAGCACCTTCAAATGTGTAACTCAATAGTTCAAAGTAAAACCCTCAAATTATTCAGAAACGGCACCACAGTTTGTTTAAACCAGAGTTACTGATTTATCAAATCGGGTAAACTAAAACTGAAATAATACTTACTTCGGATACCGTAATTCTTTGATGGGGTGGGTACACCAAGAATTTACTAACAAGAGCAACGGCTTCAACTGATGCGTCTGGAAGGACTTCTTCAAATGGGATGGTTTCGCACAGGTTAAAACTTATCTTGTTATAATCAGGTAGTTCTTTAACCTCCTAGAAAAACAAAAAAGACACAAAGCACCACCAAAACAAAAGAAAAAAGCCTTATGTATTGGAAAACTAACAGTAAATTAGCTAAACATTGTTGTCACGTAAAGATGAATTTTATTGAATAACCAAAACACGTACATTTAAGTGAAAGTCTACTACAGTGGTCTTGAGTGCTGTTAGAGGTATGAGGGCAGTTATCACTTCCCGGTTGCCCACACCGTGGAAGGATTCTTCTAGAGGTACCTGAAAAGGAAATTGGGTTAGGAGTGGTCTTAATGACCTGAGAGCGTGACCGCAGTGCCCAAGGGACAACTGCTTGAGGTCGGTCACACACGACCTTTTTGTGGGTAGTTTTTGTGTTAGCTCCGTTCTTCAAAAAAAACCTTACCGCCGGAGACGGAAATCCGTGGGATAAGGCGAGGTGTGCATTTTTAGGGTCGACCTTTTCTAACCCCACCCCTCCTTGTGGGAAGGCAGCATCGCTGTCATGCTGGTTGTCTGAAGGAAACACCTTACTGCCGTCACACCTCTGTACAGTCAGCAGTACGACTTCGCCTTCGGACCTTGGGTTTGCTGCTTTTAGTCTCACCGCTCTTCAACCGACCTGTCTGGCATGGTAGGACCTCGAGGAACGACTGTTCCAGCCAGCATAGCTCGATTGCTTCATCACGATAGGCAAGCCCGACCACCACGTCAAGGTAGCAGCAACGATCGGGAAGTCTACTACAAAAACTTAGTAAATAAAAAGTAAGCGCGTATTAAATGGAGCGCATATGGGTAGTTGCTACTCATATAAATAATAAAGACTTGAGTGACAAAAAAACGCTTTTGATATTACTCTTCTTATCAACCTGTATTTCTCCCTCATTGGAATATAGTATTCAGTAAACGAATTTTTTATTATCATGGTAGACTGCAGAGAGTATTTGAAATGAATTTCTGACCAACATTGATAACATTAGAATGTATTATACAACAACTGAAAGGGCAGTTTTGTTTATTGTTTAATGGCTTCCATGTTAATCGATATTCCTTTCTTGCATAATTGATAACATTATCAGGTTGACGTAAAATTCAGCGACCTGGTTAATGATCTTGATTTTTGACATTTATCCATCTGGTTACGCTAGTCAAGTTTGTATTCACCAACATTCGTCTTAATATTTTGGTAACAGATAGCTGGAATAATATCAAGATAATAAAATACCAACTAAAATATAGGACTGATGTAGTATAATCTAGTTTTACTCCTGGTTATTTAACTAGAAGCGCTACAGCCAGTGGTCAATAAGTGTTGACAGTTTAGTCCTACAGAATCTCGGTTATGCCACAAGTGATCAAGTATTAGTGTTTGTTATCAAAGTGATACGTAACAAAGGTTAACATTTTCTACACAGCACATGAGTTCCTGTTGATATGTGTATCCTTTTCGTCAAAGTTTCTACTGGTATCTTCTTCTTGAATTCCATATAGATCCAACTCCCATTTTAGAAACACAATCTTGGAAGGAGCTAAGTCAATTCGTGTGAGCATCGAAATGTGACCATCCTATAAATACAATTAAGTATGTTTTAAGACGACTTTCACAAGAAATTGAGACCATGAAAGTTACAGTGCACTAGCCTAGTGTTTCACTACAGTTTAAACAGTCACAGGAACTTAAACTTCTTACCGATTCTAAGAGAGAATTTATACCCTCAGAGCTTCAATGAAAGCTCCATCTTTATATTACACAGTCATTTTATCAACTTAAATAAAATTTCTTTGAATTTAATCTGTTTAAAATCATAAGAGTGACTTTTTAAGAAAGGTAAAATGAGTCAATTTAATGATAATCATATTTCATGATAGAATCAACAATCAGTACTGAATAAATAACAGTTCAAAGATTTTGACATAATGGTTTCACAGAACTTACAGGCCATATGTCTTCGTTCGGAGTCCCAAGAACACGTACAACAAACCAAAGTTGTTCAATATCATTTTCTCCCTAAACAAGTTTTAGTACTAGTAAATTATTAAATACCGGGAACAATGGAGAACTGTTAAGTAATTCGCCAAATATACAACCGATAGCCCTAAAACCGAATAAATTATAATTGATATACCATAAATCAACACTATTTGTGTACTTTTTAGCTCCGTATAGCAATTCAGGTGCTCGATACCATCTGAATTAATAGATAAATTTCATCAACCAAAATTACCTTGTAGCCACTTGATGGCTGTATAGTCGCTCATTATTATTCTCGAAAACTCTTGCAAGACCAAAGTCAGCTATTTTCAGGACCCCCTCCGCACTAATCAACAGATTGGCAGGCTTGAGGTCCTAAATAAAGAAGTGATTAGGAAATTTCATAAAAACAAACACACACCCTGTGCATAATCCCATTAGCATGCATGACTTCAACTCCTCTTAGTATCATTAACATATAACATTTAGACTGTTCTTCAGTAAGAGGAGGTTCCGAATTCCGAATAACCTCACTAAGATCCGTAACCATGTACTCAAAGACAAGAACAAAACCAGTACCATGAGGAAAAACTTCTCGTAGATGGACAACGTACGGGCTGGACTCAATAAACTGTAGAGCCTTTATTTCTCTATAGTAATAAATATACTTCAATTGAATTACCGAAGTGCTGTGTTAGGAATTCCATCAGCAAGTTTTCTCAAAGGAACCTTTTTCAGGGCAACAAGTTCTCCACTCTAGATAAAACTGTCAGATGCAAAATCAAATCACCTCAATATGCTTAGCCTTTAAAACAACTCCATGAGCACCTTCACCAATACGACCAATAATACTGTACTGCTCCATATGACTCGAATGTTCATAAGACTTAATCTCCCGAACATGCCAGTATATAGTTCAGCAAAGCCTGCGAGCCATTCGGTGTCTGCATCTCAAATGTAAGAAAGATTTTGAAGAAACCTCGGAATATTTGTCATAATGAAGACACTAGGTAAACAACAGCAAGCTACATTTCCAAATATAAGCTTTTGTGGACATTATATTGTTACATATCTTAATGTTGTTTTATATCTCACGATTTGTTCAAGTGTCTGTGTTATCTTTTCTGTGATGAAAGGCATTAAAGTATTAGTAAATAATTTATCATTTCTCCTAAGAAGTGATAAAAGTACACGGATCCACATCAAAATGAATTAAAATTGATCAGTTGTTTTGGGATAGGTATGAAAGTGAGCGTCGTTTTAACTCTAGAAGATCGAAAGTGTTACATTAACGTATACATACAGACGTATATATAATAAATAGGTTTCAAGTGGTCCAAAATCTATAGTAGTCTAACAAGAGAACTTAAGTTGTAATTATGAAGAACACTCTAGTACTAATTAATTGCTCAAATATACGCTGAGAGATTGGTTTTTATGAATCATTCTTCCCAATCACCCAAAAGTAAATGATTTTATTAAAACATTTGCAAATGCCACCAGATACAGAAGCTCGTTAAACGAAAGTTTCTATCCCGTCCAGAACCCTTTGAACAGCAGATAAAATTAAAAGGGGGTTAAGACAAATTAGCATCACATGTAAGAACAAATATAAGTAGCATGATGAATGGAAAAGTACAAAGGATTATTAATTTGGCATCAAAGAATTGTCACTATCATTTTAGTTCAACGCTGGCATATATGTCCTCGGTATATCCAAGATATAACTCGTAACCCTATTTTTATACAAATCGACTTGAAACTAACTGATTGACAGAATCGCCCATTTCTTGCAGTGTTTCATGCGGAATTAGTAAACCTAAGAGATACAGATTTGCAATCTACACTCACATTACACGTTTGATAACTAATTAAGAACAGACAGTTTCTACTTATATAACTTAACTAGTATCGAAGACTGGTGATTGCCATATTTAGTCTTAACATACTTCAAAAACAATGTTTCATGGGTCAAGAGAAGCTTCAGTGAGTTCTAAAAGAAATCAAGAAATTAACGAATCTCACTATCTTGTGAGAATTACAAGGTAATTTGGGTACAATTTGAGATTTTCGCCAAAGTCGTGAGAAATATGATAGTTTTCCAAAACCTTTGAGGAAAATCTCCAAAGTGTTATGAGACTCTATGGAAATGTTGAGACAAATCCAAAATTGTGTGAATTTTCCCAGAGCTGAGGAAATTTTGGAGTTTTAGTTCTCTATAGCGCTTTCCCTAAAATTAACCGAGACCGGACACGAACTCGTTCGAACATTACTACCATTAAAATTTAAAGTGCCAGCATTAAATACTTGAAAGTCATTTTCTGTATTAAAATGGAAAGATTAAATCAATATTTTGGCAAATTATACCGAGCAATGGACAAAATAAATTAATCCTCATGTTAAAACACAAAGCAGATCGCCGCAAGCAACCACATTTGTCTTTTTTATAATTTGAGGTTTTGACATACATGCCAATGCAAAACAAACAAAAAACCCAACAACTAACAGATCTCGCCTACAGTAAAACTCAACTCGATTTCGTAGTCGCGGCAGTTACCTAGCGACCAATCAGAATGAAGGAATAATTAATATATCCGCCATCTTTGTAAGCGATGAGGGTCAGCTTTATTCGTTCTGTTTTTTCCGCTGTTCTTTTTTGTAGTTGCATAATTTGATGTTTCAGTGTGATAAAATTCTGCAATCTTTTCAAATAAGGCGCGCTATTTAAAAAAGAGAGTAGTGATATTTTTCTTAGTAAATTTTGGGTATTGATCGTTTAATTGTCCATCAAGACTACTGTTATTGCTTTCATTCAATTAATTTTACTTAAAGTAATCCTCAAGAACACCGCACGTATCTAGAGAGGCTTATCATTTGTACTTTTCGAGAACAGATTCAAAAATACAAAGGGCACTGGTATTTATTTTTCCTTGTTGACTATATCTCTGAATATTTTTGTATCATAGATGTTAGAATTTTCTTTAACCTACCGAAGTCAGATTTTTTGTATTTTTATTGTTATTTGGTACACTTTTATATACAAACCTCTGTTTTTATTTGTGTATCAACCCCATCAGGGAAGCAGATAACAAGCATACGGATGTGGGCATGGTCACACGGAAAAAGAAAGGGTGTGCGGAGATGGAACAAAGTATAGACAGTACCGAGGTATATGAATCGACGTGTTCAGTTAAGGATGTGACTGAATGTAACACAAACTATAGGGGAGCCCAGTCTGAGCAGTATGGAGTAGGTGATTAAGCACCAAAAAAAAGTAATTGAGTGGCTCACAGTCACAAAAAGAAAAAGAAAAAGAAAAAAACAGAGACGGTTTCAGGGACGGAAATCCCATAACATGTTAAGACGGACCTCGCCGATAGATCAGTCATCTCTCATAAATACAGAGAATCTTGCGAAAAGGAACCAATGACTGGACATGAGCACGAACTCAGCAACATGAAGTCCTTAACAAGCAAGCTACTCCTAGAAACAGTTCTAGGAGTTAGCATCTGCAAGCCTCAAAGATTAGGTGGATTCTGAATGTATTCAAAAAAGCTGCCTCTGGAAGGTTATCTTTGCCAAGGTTGAAGAAAGGAACCTGATTCTAGATAACTCGCGTAAACTGATTGGATCTGGAATATGCGTCCGTGATGACCTCAGCCTAGATGATCGTATCAAGAGGTGATCGGCAGAACTGGAAATAAATGAGTACCGCCGAAATGGTGAAAATTCTCGATCTTAAGGGCTTTCAAATTACGAAATTTAGCAGCAAAACTATCTGCAAAACACTCCGTGTCGTAAGGGAAAGTTCTGCACAGAATTAAAAGTGTACTCGCAGTCATCTTATTCAAATTCACGGCTGAGATGGTCTGCCAAACGGTTGTGACGGCCAGTCCTAATACATGGAATGTAGATATGGAGGCAATCAACTCAGCACCATCGGGTGAAAATTGAATGATTGACACAGGAGAATCAGTATAATAAGCATGAACTAAATTCTGGTAGTTATACAATCGTATAACTCAACCATACACATTCTAGAAAATCCCAAAGAAGAAGAAGTACGTTCATCCTTGGACAGTCCGGCACACTCAATGATTACGAAGACAAAAGCAGAAATGTTGGAACGATTCCATCTGCCTTGGAACAGCAAGTATGATGGAACATTACAGGTTGGTAAGAAATATATGTATAATCATAATCCGAAAAGTTCAGAGAAAATATGGAATGAAGTAGACACAATCTGCACTCAAGCAGACCAAGAGAATATTCTCGTATGTAAACTACAGAACAATGACACAGAATTGTATTTACAACCTAATTACGGAAGGAAAACGGTTCTGAGATGACAAAGGATGATTAAGAAAACTCAGAGATCAGGACAAACTATTTCGGGGTACTTTTTACTCAGTAACCTCTCCTAGACAAGGAACTAGACTCAAATTCATGGTCAACAAGCCGTCTGCTCATTGTGGACTTCGATTGCGACAATGTACTTAGGTTCTTAGCACTTTGGACATGGAAAAGTCTATAGGAGCTGACGAATTACACCTCGAAATCCTGAGACAAATCGCACAATATGTCGTGTCCACATTGACCGTGATATTCAATGTTTCACTTGAGTAAGGTGTGTTTCCTATGGACTTGGAAGACGCAATCACCTCTATACATAAAAAGGGACAACCACGCCTTCCAGCGAACTACGGATCTGTAAGCCTCACCAGTCTTGTAGTCGAAATATTGGAAGGAATAGTCAAACAAACCATAATTACATTCATGGAAGCTAACAACTTGTTAAACAACGAACAACATGTTCCCACAAAAGGTTAATCTTGCACAAAACACCTCCTTATTAGCAAGGGTGCAATTGATAAAATCTCCAGTCATCGGAACATCAGTGGATGTTTTCTATATAGACTTCAGTAAAGCATTTAATAAGGTGCTGACAAACAGATTACTCTTGAAGCTAGAAAGTCATAGTATTGCCGGACCTAACCTTAAATGGTTTAAGGATCTCTAAATAGGTTGTAGACATATATTAAGAACGAATTCGATGTGCTCTACATGGAGACCAGCACTTTGTAGAGTACTGTTTCTGTCATAGGTCTTTTACCTTTTATACTGCATGTGAATGAACTCCTAAGTATAATTGAGTCCCTAATGTTTTTATACGCTGATGATGTAAAAATCTAGCAACAAATATCAGATGCAGGTGCATGTGTGTATATGCGCACTTCAGACAGACTTAAATATTGTGATTAGCTGGTTTTAATCGTGGCTGATACCTATTAGGGCATTAAAGTATGTCTACGCCACATTATGGATGCAAATGTAAATAGCTGTAGCGTAGGGGAAGTGTCTGTACTTGTGGTCCGGTCTCAAAAGGATCCAGGGGTGACAAGAAGGCATGATCTTAAGACGATGGCTCATTGACGGGAGGTCGCAGCTAAGGATTTCAGATCCCTCTGGGCTTTAAAACGGACATTCATCAAGTTAGACACCTCCATGTTCACTACAATATACAAAACCCAAGTGAAAACTAATCTTGAATAGTGAGTCCAAGCTGTCAGTTTCTTTTTAATATATGACTCGGATATACTAGAAAAAGTAAAGAGACCAACTAGCCGTTCAATTCTGTAACTCCATGATTTATCATACAAAGAGCGACTTGAAAAGCTAGACCTCTTTACTCTGTCCTATTGCAGACTAAGGGGAGACCTATTTTGATGTACAAGATATTGAGAAATGATTTTGCACTTAACTTAATCTCTCTTTTTCTTCCCACTAGATCTGGACATCTTAGAGGACCAGTGTGTAGTGAATGCTTTCTGTTTTGGTCATAAAAGGAAGCCGGAGGGCCATGTTCAGGGAGTAAGGTGTAAGTAACAGTTATTATGCTCACTTTTTTATACATCAAAGCTTACCAGTTGCAACGTCATATTAATTTTGGGATATGATGTCATCGGTGCGTAATATCTTCATCTATGATGTCTCACAACCATCCTTGAGATAAAAAGTACCTGCACATTTTCGATTTCCCACTCGATTTATTTCTGGACACATGTCTTCCAGTTTGGGTGCTTCGCACGCCCCGGGAAACTCGATTTCGATAATATTCACAGCACCAGTATAGTTTTCTCACGTAGTAAGTCCACTTGTTCTTTCAAAATAAACGGTAAAGTCTTTCTAAGTACACCCGTTAAGCTAATGTTCGTATTATATATTTCAGGTAATCGATGAAGACAAGTCGCGCTATGTACATCTGCTGTACATTGCCACTTTATTCCAGTTTTTGTCATGTCCTACTTTTGAAGAACAAAACTGCTGTATTCAGCAAATACAAACTTATTTGCCCTGATAGCGATAAGCGGGATCATGACATGTTTAGCAGGAACGTTGTAGTATTTTCAAGAAAAAGCTAAATGAGTGCGTAGATCGATGTACAGTACCATACAGGGTACCCTTATTTTACTAGTGTTCCATTAGTGTAGGTAAAGGCATTGCCTGCATATCCCAGGCCACTCGAGCAAGCAAATATGAGACTAGAAGCAGCAACGCTTAGGATATACGTAACGCTTGTCCATCCACCAACTACCGTGGCACGTCCTGGTGACTGAGATAGGTAGTAAGAAGACCCTAGTCTTTAGGTTTTCCAAGAAAATTACGAAGATGTGTATCACATCACTTAAATTTATTATATATAAAGTAGATGATGAGGTGCTTGTTTTTCACAAATTTCTTACGACGGTTAACTTGGTAAAACAGAATAGCATCAGACGTGCAAATTCACTAAAGAAATTTCATTACCAATGGAATATCAAACAAACATTTACACCATGTTTCCATATAAAACTAGCATTGGTAATGTTAAGCTGTAGCCCTTGTTATTTTATTAAACTAAAGGGTAAATGAAGTAACTTATAAATACTGAAAGTAATTGTGAGGTTAAAACGGACGTCCAGCATGCTTCTAATAAGTTTTGGAGAAGCTCCTGTTAGTTGAGTCTTCCGTAAACAGTTTCATTTGGCCATAGTTTTAAAGACGAAACAGTCCGTAAGATCTGTGTTGGCTCATTCCTGTTACATTCTAAATGAAAAAAAGTAGTGTTTTTATTCAAAAATATGGGACAAGTAAATGAACAAATTACATGGTTTTAAGCAAAGAATTTAAACGACTGTAATTTACCCTGAGTTCATGAATATTAGTTTAAGATAAAGTCAGCCACTACAACCTGTGCAAAGCATAGTATGTGCTTGGTACAAGAAGATATACAAGTAGAGCGAGTATTGTGTATTGAAACTCCCAGTTGTCAAAAAGATTTTTAATGTTTTTCCACAGCCAGCTCCATTTAATTAAGACGCAGAACACTCCTCATTCAGGACGTTATACTGCTGTTTTGCACGAAATTAAAAACACCGACACTTAGCTATTCAGCTGTCGATGTTAACGCTGGGGAAATTGTTTAATGGCAGTGATCTTGAAATATGGTCAGAGCTAGACATACAGTCTACAAATAGACACCAAACATACTTATCACTTTTTTTCTAAATGAAAACTATTTTGTATAAGGCACTTTCTTTCCTGCTTGCAAACATACTGATTTGAATAAGCGTGCTCATTTGAAGCAGGCATCTCTAATTACTTGGGATATCATTTCCGCATTCATTGCACGTCCGGCGTAACGCAAATCAAAAATTAAAACTAGAGCAAAATTCACAGCATAATCTAGTTCTTTTA